TTAAGGGAACAAAAACTAGTTAGAAGACCTATATTGTTTGTACACTGTGCATCTGCCAACATTAATTCATAGGTAGCTGACTAAAAACCTGGTCATTTCCCTGAAACATATTCAGTATGCTGCCAGTGCCAACTATTTTGTCTTGCTGCTCAAGATTCTGAGACTGCCAGCTAGAAAGAATATAATTTGAATATTGTTGAACTTGTTGAGTGCTCTGTTGCACTTGTTGCTGCAGCCCAAATTCAATAGATGCAGAGAATACTTCAGCTTGCCAGGATAGCGCGTGTGAAAACCAGTTAATAGAGTTTATGAATGACGAACTATACTTGTATTTTCTATTACCATCCTTGTGTTAAACCTAATCTTTTACCATAAACAGACACAACAGGTACCTAGCTAATCAAGTCACTCATCTCATTCAAATTTGCCATTTTCCCCCCTTTCCCTGTAAACCCCAGCCCAACAAAAAAAGGGGATCAATTTTGTTTGGAATTCTACTCTAAGACACCCCCCCAACAAAAAAAAAAAGAAGGGAATCCTATGGCTAGAAGCCACCAAAATCATAGAGATAGTGACCCAGGGGCAACACATGTTAAGGTTCTAGGGACTAAATTTGACAGGTGGTGATATTGAAGTAAAATAATGGTGTGTCTTGGTGAGAGCTTGGATTAGAAAGGCTTGATCTTTAGTGGCTCTGTTGTAGTATTGTGATTAGGAAAGAGAGAGCAAGAGGGAGAAAGAGAGAAAATGGAAGGAAAATGAGAGAAGGGAGAGAGATAGAAGATATAGACGAGAGAAAAGAGGGACATAGAGAGAAAATAGACTCAATCCATTAGATCCATCACAATACAACAAACACTGCAACCCCCCCCCCCAAAACAAAAAGCCTTATTTTATTTATATACCTTTACAAGTGTACCTAGATCATAATAATGAGCTGCCTAACTCCCCTAATACCCCAACTAACTTAACTAACTCCACTTCTTTTATTACCCTTAGGTACTAGGCTCCAAGCCAAAAAGGCATTTTTCCAATTTTTACTAAGGGCAAGAAGTTCAAGAGACAACTCAAGAGAATTAGGTTAAGAACTTAAGGAAGGTGTGCCAATATATGAGACATTACTGATGAGAGCATCTGGGAGAATATTCAAGGGACTGCTTATGGGAAACAGTCAGAATATTAGGAGTACCCAGGATAACATAAGAGATTATATAAGTTGCCAAAGTTCTGGAATTGATGGTTAATTGAAATGTGACATGAGAGAGAGTATAAGCTGCTGATGCTTGAATAATTTTCAACTTGAAGGGTGGTGTCAATTTAATGTGTCTATGATGGCTTAAGTCCCTTGATGACATGTTGACTAGGCTAGCGGTTGTTGATATTGTCTTGCTACTTGACCCTATTTATAATTTGTAAATGGACACACAAGGAGCCTATCTAAGTGAGCCAATGAAGATCACATTCAAAATCCTCTATTTGTTTTCCCCCTCATGCTCCATTCTAGAAAAGCCAGACTAAACCACTAAGCAAATTAACTCAGCTTGGTGAATAATGCAGATGATACCTTAAATGATGTATTCGAGTCAAGCAATTCATGAACAGTTGTTCCAATATTAGGAACTAAATCGCCAACAGGATTTGGAATGCCATCTTTCACAGGACCCATATTTTGATTATTAAGAAACATCTGAAGTATCCGGCTATCCAGATTGTTGATAGATGTGTCTGCTAAATTCTGTTGTGCTTGGAGCATAAGTTGCTGCTCCAGTGAAAGTTGATTGAAGGACTCTGGAGACTGCATCAATGTATTCTGTGGGAGAGACCCAGACCAAAGCCGATCCAATCCCTGAAATAATTGAGATCTGATCAGGATAGAATATGGATAGCTGATAACAGCTAAAATATCATGACCATAACTTTTTTCATAGAAATCAAATATATAAAATTTTAATGTTAAATGTTTAGTTGAAAGCACAAACAACATTATTGCATCTAATTTACATAGGAAGATGCAAGTAAAGAAAAGGAAATTTTGAAATTTCATCTTTGGTATCTGTATTAGGTAACTCTGCCTATATTGTATAGTCAGTCCCAAGCCTAGATAAAGGAGGAGGGTTGTATTAGGCCCTCGAAAGCCAATGTAAAAACTCGTCAAATCTCATGAACATTGATCAACGAAGTAATTATGCTAATGCTGGGTTGTTGCCCAGAAGTGACGTACTGTATGACTCGAGTACAATGATAAGTGAGCTAGAGCTGCTATATCATCATCCAGATGTAGTGTTAAATGAGCAAGGGCTACCACACTCTCTTGGACGGAGGTGGCTAAAGAAGTTAGTTCAAAAGAACAAGATTAGATTTGGCACTTAGAATATTGGGACGTTGAATGAGAAATCTATGAAGGTAGTAGGAGTTATGAGGGACAGAAAGATTAATATTTTGTGCCTCTAAGAGACTAAATGGACTAGAGAAGTTGCAGCAGAACTTGGAGGGTATAAACTTTGGTACATAGGAAAGGTGAGTGCAAGGAATAGTGTTAGTATCATCGTTGATGGAACATGAAAAAGGAATGTGGTGGAGGTTAAAAGGTTTGAGGACAAAATAATATCTTTAAGAGTAATTGTTGGAAAGGATACTATCAATATCATTAGTGTCTATGCACCTTAAGTTGGGGCAGAGGCACACCTTAAAAATAAGTTTTGGGAAGATATGGAGGGGTTGGTTCAAAGCATACCACTTAAAGAAAAAAATTTTATTGATAGGGATCTTAATGGACATGTCGGCAAGGAAGCAGGACAATTTGGTGGGGCTCATGGCGGTTTTGCTTTTGGGAAGTTTAATAATAGAAGACAATCTATTCTTGACTTTTCTCTTACATATAATTTCAAGATTGTCAACACTTGTTTTAAGAAGCGAGAGGAGCATTTAATCACGTACAAGAGTGGTGCCTCAAAATCACAAATTGATTTCTTTTTGGTTAAGAATCTAAACAGAAGATTGTGTACTAATTCCAAAGTGATTCATGGAGATAGGGTAACTGCCCAACATAGAGTATTTATCATTGATGTACGTTTTAAGAGTTTCAGACAAAAGTATTATCAGGTGATAAAACTCAAGATTAAGTGGTGGCAGTTAAAGGGTGAGAAGCAAGAGTTTTTCAAAAGAACCCTTTTGGAGGAAGGGATCTGGAAATTGCAGGGAAATGTGAACATGATGTGAGAAGAGATTGCTACAAAGGTTTATATGGTAGCTAAAGCAATTTTGGGAAAATCAAAAGGTTGTCATCAGAGAGATAAGGAGACTTAGTGGTGGGATAAGAGTGTGCAAGAGAAAGTCAAACAGAAAAGAGATTGTTTTAAGACCATACATTTGTGCAATAGTGCAGAAAACTGGGAAAAGTATCGTTTGGCTAAAAAAGAGACGAAGAGAGCAGTGAGCAAAACACGTACTAAAGCATATGAGGGGTTTTATCAGGAGTTAGGAATAAAGACGCAGGAAAGAAATATTTACAAAATTACGAAGCAAAAGGAGAGGAAAAAGAAAGATCTAGACCAAGTGAAGTGTATAAAGGATAGAAATAGTAAAGTGCTAGTTACTGATTGTGATATTAAGGACAGATGAGAGGCTTACTTTTACAAGTTATTTAATGAGGAAGCGAATGTGCGACTCAGGACTTACAAGATTTGCTAATTAACGAAGATGATCAGAATTTGGCTTTTTACTGTAAGATCCGCATCAAAGAGGCTAAGGCAGCCCTCAAGAAAATAGACAATGGTAAAGTTGTTGGGCTTGATGGTATTCCTATTAAACTTTGGAAATGTTTGGGCAAGGAGGATGAATTGTGGCTAATTAAGCTTTTTAATAAAATTTTACACTCCAAGAATATGCCGGATAATTGGAGAAGAAGCATTTTAGTTCCTATTTATAAGAATAAAGGAGACATTAAAAACTGTGCAAGTTACAGAGGGATAAAACTTATGAGTCATACAATAAAGTTGCGGGAAAAAGTACTTGAACATAGGCTGAGGTTAGAGACTTCTATTTCGAAGAACCAATTTGTATTTATCCTGGGAAGATCCACAACTGAAGCAATCTATTTACTAAAAGGGTTAATAGAAAGATATAGGAGTAAAAAAAAAAAAAGAATTTACATATGGTTTTTATTGATTTGGAAAAATCTTATGATCGTGTGCCAAGAGAAGTACTTTGGAAGGCTTTGGAAAACAAAGGTGTATGGGTTGCTTATATCAAAGCCATATAAGATATGTATGAGGGGGTAACTATTAATATAAGAACGCCTGGAGGTGAGACAAAGACTTTCCCATTAAGATTGGCCTACACCAAGGATCTTCTTTAAACCCTTATTTATTTAATATGGTTCTGAATGTTCTAAACGAGCTTATCCAAGAAAGAATCTCTAAGTCCATGCTTTTCGCGGATGACATAGTCCTCATGGCAGAATCAAAAGAAGAGATTAACTCTATATTGGAGTTATCAAAAAGCCTTTAGAGTTGAAAGGTTTTCGCTTGAGTATAAATAAAACAGAATATATGCATTGCAATTTTGGGAGGAGGCAAAACAATGGTGATTTGGATGTAAAGATGGGGGATTAAATCATTCCTCAAGTATTAAAGTTTAAATTGATAGAGACGTTTCTCATAAAATACAAACTCGCTGGTTAAAGTGGAGGAAGGCTACCAGAGTTATTTGTGATAAGAAGGTACCTGAAAAGTTTAAGAAAAAATTTTATCAGATTGCTATAAGACTAGCTATATTGTACGGTAGTGAATGTTAGGTGATTAAGGAAAAACAAGAGCACAAAGTTAGAGTAGCAAAAATGAGGATGTCGAAATGGATGTGTGGTTATACAAGAAAAGATAAGATTCAAAATGAAAATATCATAGCAAGCGTTGGTGTGGCACCTATCCAAGAGAAAATGGTTAAAAATCGCTTAAGATAGTTTGGACATGTGCAGAGAAGGCCATTGGAGGCCCCGATAAGGAGGATAGATTAGACAATATGGAGTCCCATAAAAAGGGGCAGAGGAAGACTGAGAAGAACGCTCAATGAGGTCATTGAGTGAAACCTCCTAGTCAACAACATATCTAAGGACTGTGTTGTTAACAGAGCACGATGGCATCGTGTGATTCATGTAGCCAACCCCACCTAGTGGGATAAGGCTTGGTGTTGTTGTTATTGTTGTATCTGCATCTGTTTTTACTATTTCTTCCTCTGGACCCTCATTTATTCATTCTTGCAGCATAGATCTCACAACATATATCAAGCTATAAGGTCATATGGCCAAAGGTACAAGCTTATTGTTTCAGGATAAGTCAAAAAGAAAATTGTGAAAAACCAGATAGGCCTAAGCCAAGCTCAAGCCAAGAATATTTTCAAGTTCAGTACAATCATACCTATTATGTAAGCCAGTAATATTTTCAGCAATTACTCCACCCAACAAGTGCATTCAATCCAAATACATCTAGCCTAATAGTTGAAAATGGCCAAATACATGAACCAAGAAAGATGGATCAGAAAGGAGGAAACATATTAATGGACATAATAAACAGTATGACAGTCTTATCAAGGAGAAACAAATTAAGTCTTACTGCCAAAGGCCATCCTTTCAGAGTGAAATTGCTGCCGCCTGATTACATCCTAAAAATTGAGAATAATCATCAAAACCAATAGCCATATACAATCTACAATTGTACGATTAAATCAAAAGTATAAATCAAAGATAGATCAGCTGTGATCTGTCATACAATGCAAGCATGTATCAAATGTTAAGTCTGATGAGAACGGTGAGCAAAGGAATAAAACATCCTCATTTTTACAGACAAAGAATAATATATCATAATGGAGATAATGTTTTGGTTAGCTAAGAAATATTTAGAAATGCCTTCATAATATTATTTGCACCCAAGAAAATGGGAAAAATTGGATGCTTCCAAAATATTATAAAAACAAATATGAGACCATCGATGATATATGCACAATTTGGAAGTTTATTATGATTCATTCATATTGAAATAGGAGTGTTCCATATAAACGAGTTTGTTGGCTCTAGGGATAAGCAAACCAATCTCAAAAATAAAGGAGAGAATCAAATAATCAAATAAATACATAATAACAACACAAGGAAATGAAAAAGAAAAGAAATCTGTTGACTATAACCTGCAAGTTGCTGGTTGCAACTCTGAACATGTTGAAGATTCCCTGGTAATCCCCTAGGTGCACCAAGCAATGTTTCACTGCAAACAAATTTCAAAAACTTAAAACCTCGACCAAAAGGAGAAAACTACCCTGGATAAGATGACCAAGTGAAAGGCACCCGGCAGGACGTCCAACAGTTTTTGTCATAGTTGCTGCTGTTGCTCTCAACAATGAGGCATTAATAGGTCTGACAAGTTGACCTACATCACCACCAATTTTATGCTGCATAGAATGTAGGGTGAAAATGATACTAAATAAAAACAATGGGAGTAAATACCAGAATCTCAAAAATACCCTGACAGGTGCATTATCCAAGGTATCTCCTTGAAGAGGAAATTTCAACCTCTCTTCATATTCTGTTGTTGCCATGGCATTTACGGTCGCATGATTCTGCCTCATTAAAGGATTGATTCCAAGAGGACTAGTGGTACTATCTCTGACAATTTGGGTCCCACCTCTACATCTCTGTTGCTGTATTTGTAGTTGTTGTTGGGCATGTCTCTGCAAAAGTTGCTGCATTTGCATTTGTTGATGTTGATTTGGCTTCTGATGCTCTTGCTCTTGTTGCTTCTGCATCTCTCAAGCCTTAGTTTGTAGGCTCTGTCATTTTGAAATTTACAATGAGCTTGTTATGGTCCATGCTACATACTCAACATAGAGAAATAAGGCCTCAAGCCATAGCACAGAAATTGAAGCATAAGGTAGATAGCATAGAACCTATTAATCATTTTTTAACGATGACAAACTCTTCTTAAGTTGGGAGTAAAACTAGAAATCTTAATCATTTTAATTCACTACAAAATAATGACTATATAGAGAAAAGGTGCTTATTAATTACCAGCTTGGGCGACAAAGATAAAGGTCTGACACAGACAATTATCAGCATCAATGAGAAACACATTTAGCATTTGCTTCCACTGCTACAAGCAGTTAACAACATTTACAACATATATTGGAATGTACACTTAAAGTAGCAAACAAATGAAAATTGATACAGGGGGAATTAATCACACGAGGGGGGGGGACTCAGACAAATGCAAAACCAAATATCCACCTCAATGTAAGATAAATGCAAAACCGCTAGGCGCATCTATAGCTGGATCAATGACCAAACGAAGGGGTCAAATGGAATAAGTGTAGAAGAGCTTTTATATATCAAGTTTATTTCTATTGAAAAATGGGTATCTTACCTACAGGATCTGTTGAGACATTCCCTTCAGCCTGAAATGCCCTTGCAGAAGTGTGCAGTTTTCTTTTCATGAGATAATCATGGATATACACATCTAACCTGTCCCCCACAACACAAAAAAAGATCAACATTCAAGAGTAATTTAATTAGAGCACAAGTAAGTATTAAATAATGAAATCATAGTAAGACAATTTGCAGATAATACATACACCCCAAATGAATCATATGAAACATAACAAATACAAATCTCAATCCCACAGGACTGGACCCCTGAACTAAGGAAGGAAGGCTGTGAAGTATTTCCATTTTCAAAATGAAAGATTAAAAAAAACAGAACTATCGAATTATACACATTCCGGATAGGAAAATACCGTAGAAAATATAATGCAAAGTCAATGGTCAACACATCGTTAATTGTTTGCGTAAAAATTTCATCAAAAGGAACGAGGAAAACGGGAATGAGCGAACGCACACTATGTCTTAAAAGAAGCTTAATTTCTTAGAGCGTAAGGTACGGGAAAACGGCATGCCCGAAAAAAGGGTACAGAAACACGGAATAAAGAGCTTAAAACATTTGTCTAAAAGATCATATTTCTTGACCTTCCATTCTCCTAAACTGCAACCAAATTGAACACACGAGGAACATTTCGTAGCAAGAGATGAGCATAGCCAGGGCCCAGCGTATATATTTAAAAATTAATAGAACAAATCGAGTAAGTTTTATATACGCACGTAACATAAACTCAAATTAAAGGCCAAGAAAATGTTAAAATTGATTCCTGCATGTCATCTGAAAACAAATGAATGAAAAGTTAACGAGTCAAGACACATAAAAAAAAAACTGAGAAAAAAGAAAAACAAGGTTGAAACCCCGTCAAAAATTGCATTGATTAATTAAGCAAGGAAGGGAAAAACCATTTCAAAGAAAAGACACAGCTGAATACCCAAACGTGTGTACTGCTTATAATGTTCGTTCACTTAGTGCAAAAAAGAACTAAAGAAATTTTAGCAAAGAAAAAGCTAAAACACTAAAGAAATGACAACATCATCAGCACTGAAACCAAACCACAAACCAAAACCTCAGCAAAGGGTAGGTACCAAAGAAAACCCAGAAAACTATGGATTTGCAAAATAGGGGGGAAAAATCGAAGTGTAATAAATCACGAAGAAACTGTCGTGGTCCTCACATTTTATCGGCTTCCCATAGAGAGTGAGACATGATTTCAACGCCGAAATATGATTGGAAGCGTCACTCGGGGAGTAGGTGTGAATGTGACAGTAGAAGAAACAAGTGCAAGGTGGTGTTTTTCCCGCTATTCTCTGTTACACTTGCACAAAGCCACAAAGCGGCTTGTAGATGATCCCCAAAGAAACTACGATCTTTAACAACCCAAGAGAGAATTTGGCAAACCCTCCATGACGACCAAAAGAAATCTTTTATATTTTTTGAGAAAAATATTTTCACATATAAATATAAATATATAATTATTCTATATAGCGTAAGATCGCCAAGTAATGTCAACACTCATGTTTGAAAATCAAATTTTTCTTTAAACAATTATGTGCTGCTTTAAATGAAAATTTCATTTATTAAGATATTTATAAAGTATGGAAGACAATTACGGAGTGTTTGGATGGAATCAAAACCATAATTTTAAAAGTATTTTTATTGTATACAAAATAAATATGTGGAGAAATTTATCTCGATTTGTAAAAAATACTCCTGGGAAGCACTTTTTATGGTGCCCAAACACCCCTTACATCTTGATCATCTCAATTATGACCACTTGTGATAAAAGTCATAGATTATTTTGGAATATTTCTTATGAAGTACTACCTTCTGTCTTAATTATAAAAGCTAGTTGACTAATTTGAGAAGATTAAAAAAACAACTTAAGTTAGTTATTTGTAATAAATAGGTGTTATCTTTCCTAAAATATCCTTGCTAATCCAGTTTATTGGCTAGAACTACCACTATTAGAGGGACTACCTTGAGAAAAAATGTATAAATATGATAGACAAAGTAGATTGGAGTTTTATAATTAGAACCAAAATAAAAATTAAATAAAATCTTATATTAAGAACCGGAAGTGATAATTGAAAAATATAATATTAAACATTACTTTAAGGGTATCAAAAAGAAAATTTGGGGTACTCCGCACATGACCCTTGTCCAGAAAATGAGACTTGTCTAAATTTTATATTCACTTATTTATAATAATGATTTATATTTTATATTATCAAAAATAATATTCTAATTTTTAATATAAAACCTAATTTTTAAATTGATTTTAATTTTAAATATAAGATCTATTTTTTATATTTGCTAATTTTTTTAAATATCCTTATAGATATTCCCTCAACCATAATTAAGTAGAAAACAGAAAGAAAATATTAAGAAAGATAACTATGATATTTTAAAAATAATATATAATATTTTTTATAATTAATTAACTTAAATAATTTTTTTAATTTAATTTAATTAATTAAATTAATTTTATATTAAGAATCTCTTCAGCACACCCTTACCTGTCACCTCGCGAAGTTGTACGACAATAATAAGAGGGAAAAAATTGGTTTGACAGGCCTGCAAATTTCTTCGCAGGAATCGTTGTCCCATTAAAGACGGCACATTTTCATTTTCTTAGCAATAGAATAAAGAAGATATCAGTGTGACTTGACCCTTTGAAAAGTTTTTGGACCAGTAATCCTTACACCTGAAGATGTAAAAGAAGGAAAAAAAATCATAGAAATTTAACTTCACTAAAACAATTTATTGTTGAATATTCCCATCACCAATCAGGTGATCAATCTTTCCATTAGGATCAGCAAAGAAATCAGCAATATCCAAATGAGTGACATCCATGTTGCCATAATCAGAATCGCCCTCTTCATCAACAAAATTGGTTTCTACCCTTGGCATTTTGCCGTTGCCTTTACTTTTATTTTTAAGCGATTCTTGATAAAGGTCAACCAAATGTTTCGGTGTACGACAAGTACGTGACCAATGACCATTCCCACCACAACGATAACACGAGTCTTCAGAGTGGTTATTACTTCCACTAGTTTTTCTCTTGCGATTCTCATCATTCTTTGTCCTCTTTGAATAGGAATTTGAACCACCTCGATTATGACCACGACCACGTCCACGGTCAATGCGACGGCCTCGTGCACGTCCATGTCCTCGTCCACGACCACGTGTTGGTCCATTTACTACTACATTCGCTTCGGGGAATGGAGTGGAGCCGGTTGGACGGGATTCATGATTTTTCATTAGAAGCTCATTATTTTGCTCAGCTACAAGAAGGCAAGAAATAAGTTCAGAATACTTTTTGAAGCCTTTTTCACGGTATTGCTGCTGCAGGAGCACATTGGATGCATGAAATGTGGAGAATGTTTTCTCCAACATGTCTTCATCAGTGACTTTTTCTCCACATAATTTCAGTTGAGAACTGATTCTAAATATCGCAGAATTATACTCACTAACAGATTTAAAATCTTGTAGACGCAAGTGCATCCATTCATAACGAGCTTTTGGGAGAATGACAGTTTTCTGATGGTCATACCTTTCTTTCAAATTGTTCCAAAGTACGAGTGGGTCTTTAATGGTCAAATATTCCATTTTTAGTTCTTCATGTAAATGATGGCGTAAAAAGATCATAGCTTTAGCCTTTTCTTGACTAGATGCCTTATTTTCTGCCTTAATTGTGTCTCCCAGACCATTGGCATTTAGGTGAATTTCCGCATCTAGTACCCAAGATAAGTAATTCTTCCCAGTAATGTCAAGAGCCACAAACTCAAGTTTTGTAAGGTTTGACATGATGGCACTACCACAAAAGAATATAATATTAAAAAAAATTGTTATGTATGGAAATTACATTGCTCTTTGTTAATGAGAAGAAAATAAAAGAAAAGAAAAATTATAAATTACCAAAAGAAAACAAATGAAGAGAAAATTTGAATGACTTCTGGTCATGAGTTAAAAATTATATGGCTTCTAGCCATATGTTAGAAAATTAAAATTATGGCTTCTGGCCATAAGGAAGAAAACAAAGTTTTATAGCTTCTGACCATAAAGTATAAAATAAAGTTTTTATGACTTCTGGCCATAAGAAAGAATAACAAAGTTTTATGGCTTCTAGCCATAAGAAAGGATAATAAAGTTTTATGCTTCTGGTCATAAGAAAGATAATAAAGTTTTATGGCTTCTGGCCATAAGTAGAAACAAAGTTTTATGGCTTCTGGCCATAAGAAGCAAAAAAAATTTTATGGCTTCTGGCCATAAAAAGAATAATAAAGTTTTATGGCTTCTGGCCATAAGAAGCAAAACAAAATTTTATGGCTTCTGGCCATAAGAAAGAATAATAAAGTTTTATGGCTTCTGGCCATAAGAAGCAAAAGAAAATTTTATGGCTTCTGGCCATAAGAAAGAATAATAAAGTTTTATGGCTTCTGGCCATAAAGTAGAAAACTTTAAACCATATAGCTTCAAGCCATTTAGGAAAAGAATGGAGAAAAAGAAAAATACTCATAGTGTAGAAGAGTATAGAAAAGTATAGAGGATAGACAATAAATCATGAAACATAATGTATAATAATAAGATCGGAATATTATACCTTTGTTAGAGCCCTCGTGCTGATAACGTGTTGTAAATAAAAAGAAGAACAGAGAAGAAAGAATATCAATAAGAGAGAGTATTTCTCTTTATATTCAATAGGGTACTGAATACATTGTACATGGCCTCTATTTATAGGCACGGCTTTACATCTTTGATAGAATCTACAGATATAAAGATAATTGCAGATAATGGGGATAATGGGAGTTACTGAAGATATTGGGAGATAATGATAGATACATGGACATCTATAAAGATATTATATTCATAACAATGGGATTTTTTTTTTTTATTACGGCGATGGGATTTTCAAAAGTGTTAATTAATACTGTGTTGTCGCATGGGAAAGTAACTGCTTAAAAAACTCAAATATAAAAAAAAAAATGACTAAAGTATATTGGATTGTTATATTATGCAGATGGCTTTAATTTATTTTAATAGAAGTTGAAAACAATAAATATGAGATTTAATGACAAGTTTTTTTTTTCCCGAAATACTTCATGTCATTCAAATTTTTTATTTAAGTATTACTTATTTTTGTTGTTTTCCTTGCGCTTTTGAAGTTTTTTTTTCAACATGAATATTATGTTTATGTTTCATTTAAATTATATTTAGAAAGTAATTTTTATCTTTATAAAAATAAAAGTTTTCCTAATTAGCTTTTGTAACTATTCAAAATGAATTACATAATTTTTATGAATATATTTTGGACATGGTTAAAAATTTTCATCTTAGCTAAAGAAGCACATTCTAGTTTTGTTAGTAATAGAATAAATAAAGAAGATATCAGTGTGACTTGACCCGCGATGGGATTTTTTTATTTTTTATTACATCGATGGGATTTTCAAAAGTGTTAATTAATACTGTGTTGTCGCATGTGAAAGTAACTGCTTAAAAAACTCAAATAAAAAAAAGACTAAAGTATATCTTTAGTTATTTATTTTTATAAAAAAATTTAATTTGATTTTTAAATTTTAAAAAGTATATTTTTTATTTTTAACCTAAAATTATGAAGTTTAAATGATGATTTTTTTTGTTATAATTGTGGTTATTTTAAGAATTAAACTTAATATATTAATATTTGAAAATGTTTTATCAACATTTGAAATCTCAATGTCATTATTTTTATTAATAATTTTAAAATTAAAAGACTAAAAATATAGTTTTTAAAGTTAAGAGACAAAATTAAAACTTTGTATATAATTAGAAGATCAAATGTATACTTAGCTCAAAAAAATATGAAAATATATGATATACAACGTTGTGTTAAATCATACAAAATCCCTGAGATTTATATCATAAATAAATAATTTTTCTAATCTTGAAGACTTTAAAATAAATTTTTCTAACTGTTTACATTTATGTTGATAATTCATATATCACTAATTGTTTTCATTATTTATTTGTAAATGATTTAATAACGTTTAAAATACTTATTTATATGTAATTTAAAATTTGACGGGCTTTTTTATTTGTATATATATAATTAGTTTGAGACTATCTGTATAAACTTGAAAGTTTAAAAAAATTATTAATGAGTTTTGAAATTAATAAAATTATTTGTAAATGGTTCTAAGTGCAGAAGAATTTCATATGATTTAGTCAATTTTTTGGTAACATACGAAGTTTACATTTTTATATTCTTTGTTTCTTTATGAATCCATCACATGCTGTTAAGTTCACATTGATCTTATAAGTGATGGCATTTATCTTTCCATAAGATTTAGTTTCGAGCATTGTATAAAACATATTATACATAATAGCAACTTAATTAATTGAGTAAATTAAATAAATTATATAATTTTAACAAATATGACATGATCTTCTTAAAATATCTTTATATAACATTATGTTATATATTATTTTATAAGTTAGATAAATTAATTTAAAAATAATAATAAATACGAGAGATATATATAATGCATTATGATGAAAACAAACTCCCTGACTAACTTCTACATTTAAGACTAAGGAAGTAAAATAATTTGTCCCATATAATTAATAAAAATGACATATTGACAACAATTCACGTATATTTTTATTTCAGATGCTCATAAGGGATCTTTTTAATTCTCAATTGGGAAAATATCTAAGAACATATGTTGTTGGCAAAACATATATTTAAGGGAGAATTACAATGAGGTCCCAAACAAGGAAAACAATTGAAAAACAAGTCCTAGAGGTTGTCATTCTTATTATAGGACTTGTTATTATAGACTGTTGAGGTTGTTATTAGAACTTTTTTATAATTATTTTTCTTCCGTGGGACTTGATTGTAATTCCCCTTATATTTAAAAGGAGATTCTTGTTAAAATTGATGATGGATTGGCAGGATGGCAAAGAAAACTCCTCTCTTAGTTTTGTTTTTAAAAATAGGCACACAAAAAAAAAAAAACAAAACAACTCCTCTCTCTCTCTCTCTTTCTCTGTGGCGAAATGGTGGTCATCAAGAATTCACTTTCATAGCTCCTTGTTTATCCTCTTTCTAAAGGCTTACGATACTATGTCTAGTTTTTAATATAAAAGTTAGTTGATTAATTTAAATAGATTAATAAAATTTGTTAAATTAGTTACTTTAATAAATAGGTACTATCTTCCTTAGAATACTCTTACTAGTCATGTATAATTGTTAAAACTATCATTTGATGAAACATTTAACATATGTAACTATTGTAAGAACTACTTTGAAAAAATAGATAAATGTGAGAGATAAAGTAAATTGAGGTCTTATCTTTAAACCAAATTGAATCTCAAACTAGCTATTATATTAAAGACCGAAGCTAGTATATCAAAAAGGTAGAAGTACCTAGAACTAAGTATATCAAAAAGTTAGAAGTAGCTAGAACGAATTAATTTGGCAAAATTCTCTTGACTATAAATAAGAAATAAATAGGTGTTGTCTTTCCTAAAATATCTTTTTCGTAATCAAGTATATTAGCTAAAATTACTATTATTACAAGGACTGCCTTGGAAAAAAATGGATAAATATAAGAGACAAAGTGGATTAAAATCTTATATTTAAGATCAAAATAAAAGTCAAACAAACTCTTATAATAAAGACCAGAGGCAGTAGTTTCTAATTAACGGCCACTGCCACCGACTTCAGAGCAAAATGCTGTCCAGTGCATTCATATTTCTCTATGTTTCGTAATTTGAATCTTCTCATTCATCTTTGGTAAATTTCTGTCAAATTATAATTTTAGGAACTCGAGTGGTTTCTCTCAAATTGCATGATGCAAAAAATACATGTTCCCAAAAAACAATAAACAGACTTAGCTTTTAAAAAATAAGTAAACTATTACCAGACTAAGCTGGATATTCATCATCCATAAGAATTGAACATATAATAATATAGAAAGCTATAATAAAGTTTGAGTCAACTATAGTACTGAATTCCTCCATTTCATATCACAAATCTAAGGGGCTTCAAGGACTACAGATGCAACCAAAACGTTCAATGGTTTTGTGTATTACTACCTCCGGTCCTTAATATAAGACCCTGTTTGACTTTTATTTTGGTCCTAAATATAAGATCCCAATCCATTTTGTCTTTCATATTTATGCATTTTTTCCCAAGGTAGTCCTTCTAATAATTATAGTTCTAGCTAATGTAGTTGATTAGTAAGGATATTTTAGGAAAGACTAACCTAACTTAACTTCTTTCCTTAATCTCCTCAAATTAATCAACTGGGTCTTATAATTAGGACCGGAAGTAGTATTAGAGACAAGAAATTTGGAATGCAAAAATGATCATACTTTAGAGCAAGGCTGTTGAACCTGGGTGTTGCAACCAAAAACAGACACAAGGCTGCTTTCATAAACGAAACCAATACAGTAGTCATAACCAGATGAAAAGTTGTGGAACTCTTTCCATTTCTTAGTGGTGAGATTGAACAGCTTAAGAAAGTATTTTGGTTTACCTTCCACTTCAGCCTCACTTCCTCTGTGGCAGCGAACTATTTCATTCCTCCAAATACGTAAAGGTTTTAAAGCATATGAATATGTGTCAACGTTATATTCTTCAACACAACTCAGACTCTTACCAGATTCACTAGCAACCTCCTCCATTACCCATATATCCATTAAATGAGATCCATCATGACGTGGATGAAGTATAGCAAATTTGTTCTGGTAAACAGCAAGAGTAGTGTAAAAAACACGAGGCACAGATGGTATTGGAATTGATGTTAAGGTAAACACTTCTGTGGCTATGTCAAAAGAAACTAGCACAGGAAATGAAGAATCCTCTACTCCTAACCCAACCATAGTTCCGTCGGCAATGACTTTTATTGATAGAATTGTTGTATTATGTAAAACTCCAAATTCTAGTTCCTTCCATGAACCTGTGCTTAGTGAATACATTTCCACCGCATGATACCTTAGTAGGGAGGTCTTCTTTTTACGCGATTCTTGATGATAAAATCTCAGTATCTTGTAATCATTAACGACGCTGCAGAACCCAAATCCATAATTGCATGTGCCCCAACAATCATTGCTTCTTAGGGGTTTTTCTCTGACCTCTCTAATTACTGGGTTCCATAGCCATAGCGAGCAATAATTATCATGATCGATTACAACACAGAGCAAGCCATTGCAGGAACCAACGATTGTCCAATTATCTCTGAAGCAAAAGATCTAGGTATGCTCAGAACTTCAACTGTTTCCATCTTATGATTAAGCAAACGTAAGGACGAATACAAATCTTGGCGATTCGATTCATAGAGTAGAATAAAATGGTTTTTGTGACCAGAGTGGTGGAAATGTTCAGCGATGAAAAATGTGGTTTTGAAGAGATTTTTCCAGTCTCTACACATGCATTGAAAATCGAAAGATAGATTTGACAGGAAGCCTTTTCAGAATCTTGATGATAATCTCAAAGGGCAGAGGGGATTTATCGCCTATACTCGCCATCTGCTAGTCGGAGGGAAATAGGGATTCCGAATTCGCATTCCTAGGAAGAAGAGTAAAGAAGCAAGGACATTGCATCTTCTAATCTTGGAAGGAAATAAAGAAAAGTAATGTATTCGTGTTTTATCCATATACGTATATTTGCCAGAAGTTTTATCCCCTCGCGTGTGCATATATATGTATATATGGGTTGATACTTGATGCAAACTTTGGCGTCTTGATTTTTGTTTTGGCCACTTAAATTTTAAATCATTAGTTTTAATTTCTTACTTTTTTTTATTTATAATATTGATCCTCGTAATTTAATAAAAACTTGAACTATTTTATCTTTTAAGAGACCAAAACATACAGTTTGAAACTTGATAGACTAAAACCAAAATAAGAATAAAGTTACGTGATGAAAAATTATATCAACTTTATATATATATATATATATGTGTGTGTGTATGCTTGCTTTTAGGCACAAGCTACGGCTATGTTTGGATTACAATTTAGACTGCAAAACGTGCCTTCGAAAACACGAAACGTGGGTTGGGGAGTTATTGTTGGGACTGTGTTTTCTCCATTATATGGTAGGCTTCAAATTGACTTTTTGCTTTCACTGTTAAGTGCGTTGCGGTGAATCGGACCCAGTAACGTGTTTTAGTTGTTACTAGAATTTTCTCCCCCATGCGATGCATAAAATGATACATATTAAAATAGTTAATACTGCTAAAAAAATATTTTATTATATTCTTTCCCTTTTAATCTATTGTAAAGAAAATTTAACTTTTGTTATTTACTCCCTCCAATTCAAAATATAATATAAACTTTATCTCCCTATTTATTAAGAAATTAGTTAAAATCAGTTTAAAATAATAAATATGTAAGACATTTTTTTTAAAAATATACCCTTGCTAATAAAAAGAATAAGTAAAAGACGCAATAAATGAATAAAAAAAAGAGAATATGTGGGAACGTAATTAGAAAAATTTATTAGATGCTTAGACAAAAGTAAGTATTATCTTATAAAAAAAATCAAATCCCTCTAATAAAGTTTAGGTTATATTTTAAACCGAAGGGAGTATTTTTAAAAATATTATTTTTCTTATATATGAATTAGACAATGAAATATAATATTCAAGTATTTAATGTTGACAATTTTATGACAATACTAATTGCACATAAAAATTTTCAGTAAAACTACCTATAATATTATTCTCCTTGATAAAACATCAATGTTTAGTTTCAAAGAAATCTAAAAAATGCAGCCACAATTATTGTGTCATTAAAATAATTAAATTCACAAAGGTAGAGAACAAATAGGTTGAATGTCAGTTTGAAGATAACGTACATTGCATAAATCAGATGTTAATAAATTCTGTAAATAATTTGTTTGTGAAACTCTATTTCTGTTTTTTCTAATAGTGTTTATAATGCCCCTCTTCTATCATTATCATAATATTAACTGTCAATTAAGTGGCCATTCAACTGCTTAACCCAACCCATTTTGACATCACCGGGTATTACAAGATTATATATATAAAGTAGATAGATACTTCTCACGTGTGTCTTTGTGCAGGTGGGAGAGAAGGGGCCAACGCGTATATTTTTTTCTACCAACAATGACCAACATATTTATATTGTTTATTATTTAAATTAGACGCCATGCCCCCTATGTTGCATGGGCTAATTTATGCTTAATAGTCTTTATAGTTAGATCTAATTCGATTGTAATGATTATTTTTGTGGTTAATTTTGAGATATCGAAATAGATATTTTCTAATTTCATTCTACATTAATTTGTAAAAAAAATTAGAATATGTAAATTTTCCTTTTCTGAGTTCTGATATAAAATAAAATTAGAAAAATATCTATCTCAATTTTTTATTTATTTACTGGTTAAATTATTATATTATTGGATGAAATCAAAATATACAAGTTTTTAAATTATAAGAGTATTTGTCTCTGCTAATAACTTAAATTTCATATAAATTCAATAAAAATACTTCGCCTCTCATATTGCAATAAAATTTCATTTCCCCCTCCTATAAAATTTATTTATTGCTATATATTTTAAAGGATATAATTTTTCCTGTATAAGAATTATATTGACTCGTCATCTTCTTTTTTTCCCTTCCTTATTCTTGGCTTTTTCGTCCAAATAGTTCAGAATTTATTTTCCAAGCACAGTTTTGGCCCTGGTTTCCATTATCACGTATGTGTTTTCATCAAGAATCTTTTTACTCACCAATAGTTGATTCATTAAGATTTAAATTTAAAATACACATTATTAAGTGTATTTTTCAAAGTATATTGAATATGTTAAATTATCATGCCAAGTAACAATTAATGTCTTATAATTATAAATAGATAGACGTTTTGTTTTATAGTAGATTTCAATATAAGAATGGCATCAAATGCCAATACTTTTTTGTATAAAAAAAAGAAAACCATACCATAAATTAAATAAATTTGAGGTAAGCATAATCCTATATAATGTTGACATATAACATTGTTAATTACTGCGAGATAATTATCTCTTGAACAAATTATTTTGCCACCCGTATTTATTCAACACATGAATAAGAAAAGCACAAATATGCTTGTTACGACAGTCATAAATCTATGTTGAAGGTTATAGAGTTTTTTTCCCCCCCTGTGAGTGAGGAAGTTTAAGTCTCCGAACAGCCTAGAAAAACTTTCATTGATGTCCTTCGAAAAATTATCTTTTACTACTATTTTATTTATTATAAAGCATCTTCTAGGAATATTTTTTTTATCTTAAATAATTGTTATTTCTTGGTATATTTAAATTAGTTAGAAGTGCTCTATAATAGAGATAAGATGAAGTGTTAAGTTTTACCATGTAGTTAAACAAACCTATATCTCGGTTAGTGAAATAATCCTTCCCACCATTTTCTCACAGAGGACTGCTCCTATTGCAACAAATTATACTAGATTTTTTTAATTTTAAATGTAAGAATCAATCTATAAATGAATTAGAATTGAAGTGAAACTTTTTCATCCCTTAAAATAAATAAGTATGAATCATATTGCCTATATTAATTGATAAGAACTCACCGTATTTTGGAATACAAAATAGACAAATATATAAATCATACGCATTATTGGACATTCATTTATATAATGATATCTATTGAGTGTCTCAATCTCATCAACTTTAAGGTGCTGAAAGAAGCGTTGATGCTCTCTCCATCTCTATAATCATAGCAAACTCGACAACACATGTGCAATTTTATAATCCACAGTCAATGCATGATATAAATGAGATCTTCGGCATCGTACGTGATTCTTAAATGATTTAGAAATATATTACTCCGATTCCAATTTTAATTTATAATCAAAGTAATCTAAAAGGGAGAAACTCAATAATAAAAATTCAGTTATATTAGATGAAGTAAATTGTTGCAATGCATTTCCAATCACAAAAGACATGAAATGCATAACAAAGGAGCCTTATTATGGACAACAGAAAATAACCACACAAAAAAAAAGATCTAATTAGAATCTTTCTTGTGACAATTATGCTTCCACTTGACATTCATTGTGAACAGATTAATGCGTGGTGATAGTACAAAAGCTCCAAAAAACATGGCATAGCCAATATTAAAAAGAAAATGCATAGGAATGTGTTGCTAATGGAAAATAAATTTATGCCATTGACCTTCATTTCAAGCTGCTATAGCACAACAATTCGGTCTACATAGGCAGTGAAATAAATTCCCAGCAAAGCAAAATGAAAACAAAAATTTGAGATAATATGATCATTTACTTTGTAAGTGCAAAGATTCATGCTAAAAAAAGATATATGACAGAACAAATTAATAGAATGCATACCTATGCTAGAAGCTCTGAATTATAGCGGCGCACTTGAGATCAACATCCTTTGGAATTTATTTATAGCCGCTGGCTCATGAACCCAACAGCTCCAATCGCCTGCAAGTATCCTAGAAAATCCTTTGTTCATATTTGAGCCCACCATAACAGACAGTTACAGGGGGAAAAAAAATGTCTATGACAAATCAATAGGATGAAATATCAGAAAGTACTGGGGAACAAATTCGTTAATAATAAAAATGGCAGGTCCCTATGATCCATCATCAATTATTAATAAATAGAAATAACGATCATATTGATTCTAATTTATCCACGATGCCACACTAAAATAAAGGCACAGGCAATCATACTTGCAGAATCGCCATCCAAGCACTCATCAGCCTAACACTCATAATGAAAACAAAGCACAATTCATAAATTGGGAAGCGGAGACAGTATACTGAAGCAATATTTTTTTAAAAAAAAAAAACAAATCTCCTTAAGACAACTATTGAAATTGCAACAACTAATCGTCGAGGGAATATATATGGCATAAATTTAGGGCTTTAACCATGAAAAGTGAAAACTTCGCCGTTCTTTACTTCCAAGTAAATGCAAGAAGAACTGTGAACAAATGAATCGTCTCTTTCATTGCTGCCTCCACTAGAAAGAACCAAACAAAGCTCAAAATCAACTTATGACGGAACATAAATAGTAGACGGAGAAGTCTAATAAATCAAACATACCTATCCTTGCCTAGGTTGAAAAGGGATCACTCACGATGCTGTGGAGGAGTTCTTAGGGTTTGTTTGGTTGGAGGGGAGGGGAGGGCAGCCCCTCCTCTTGTTTGGTTAAAAATTTTGGAGGGGCCTTCCCCCCATTTTAGCTCCCCTCCAAATTAAGGGTTTTTAGAGGGAAGCCAAATTTTTGGACTATTATACCCGTATAGATTTTTTAATATTCCACTTCTACCTATAAAATATATTATTATAATATTTATTTCAAATAAAAAATATATTATCCTAAGTAAAAAAAATAAAAAAAATACATTATTATAATTAAAAATATATTATAAAAAATTATTTTTAAAAAATTATTTAAATAAAAAATTATAACATTATAAAATTAATTTTTTATAAATATATTATTTATTAAATATATTTTAAAGCTGGAAAAAAGATAGCCTAAAGAGAATAAAATTTCATTTTTCGTAAAGCATATAAAATTTGTTAATTTGATTATTTTAAATATATTATTATATTAATTAGAATAAAAAATTACTGTACCAATTTTTTAATACACATATTAACATGATAACACTGAATTTTTATTAAATTATATAATTTAAATTAAGATGTAAATTAATTTATATAATATATCAATAAAAAACATAAACTAATATGTAAGGATAAAATTGTAAATTGATTATTACTATCCCTCTCCTCCTCTCCTTAAACCAAATAAGGGATCATTAAATATTCTCTCCTCTCTTTTATTTTAATCAAACCAAACAAAGTGAAGATAAAATCTTCCCTCTCTTTTCTTACCTCTCCGTCCCCTGCCTTCCTCTCAAACCAAATAGGCCCTTGGACACTGGACAACCAAGCCGCCAGTCGAAGAAAGGCTCCAAATCAAATGCGCCTATGACTTTCCAGGTGATAAAAGGGTTGTACAAGAGATAATTGACCGTTTCTTTTCCTTAAAGTACACGCACCGAGAATTGTGAGGAAGTCGATCCACAAGTTTGGCAGTCCCCGAGGGAAGGCCTTTTTCGGTGTTACGTGTCATCCCTACCATACATTAATGGTGCCCCGAATGTCAACGCCAAAACCAATGGCATAATGAATTGAGGGGCAATGCCAGCGGCAACACGGGAGTCTACCTTCGCATCCACGAGGGCCAACAGATGCAAGCCGAAAAAGGATTATGTCTAAAGGCCTGAATCGATCGATGCATACCAATCACAACGTGCCTAAAAGGTTTAAAACAGATACTCTTCCGGTTTTTAATATAAGACCAATTTAACTAATTTGATTAGATTAAGGAAGTTAGGTAAGTTAGTTAATTATAAAAAAAGTGACACATTTTTCCTAAAACACCATAATCATCTTTCTTAATATCTCCTCTCCTTCTTCTACTTGATTATAGTTGAGGGAGTATCTATAGGGGTAATTTAGAAAACATTAATAAATATGAGAAATAAGTCTTACATTTAGGACCAAAACCAACTCAAGAATTGGGTCCTATATTAAGAACCGGAGGAGTAGATAGATTTTAATAAATATAATAATATTCTCTAATTAAATTTAGTTTTTTTTGGAAAAAATTGTAAAATTTAATGATAAATATTTTAATAATGTTATTTTATTTAATCAAGTGTTTATTTAATAAGATACAATTTATTTTTTTAATCATTTTATATCTAAACTTGCATTTCAATTAATCATCTAAACCTACTTTTTTGTATAATTTTGATTTTAATATTTCTCCTAAAATTATCCCATTACATATTATATATATAAGTTAATAAAATGTATGATCTTTTTAGTCATTTCACATATAAACTTACTTCTTCATTAATCATTTAAATAAATTTCAACTTTTCAAACCGATTTTTTTATAAAAGTCAATTCAAACATAAATCACATTACATATTTATCCTAATTTATATTTGTAAAAGTCAAATGAAACAAAAAATCACTTTTTCCATCATCAATGTAGTCACACCCTACATGTCTAGGATGGCATTACTAATAAAGGACTTTTGTCCCAAAACCTCAGTCAAAGATTAAGCCAAATTTTCCTACTTCTGGGCATGACACGGTGCGGCAAGCTATTTTTATCAAGGAAAAAAAAAAAACTAGACTGAACTGGCCTGTGCAATCTGGAAACCGGTGAACCGATCAGTGGTCAAGTTTTATTTGGATATTGAATCGGTTAAGAGTTGAACCGGTATGAAACCGGTCAAGAGTCGAACCGGTATAAAACCGATCAAACCATGGTAAACTAGTGAAAACTAGTGATGAACTGATTTGAATCATTATCTCAGTTACTATAAATTTAAATGAATTTTAATTGTAATTATAGTATTAATAATTATTAATTTTAGTTATTGATGAATAGTAAATATAAAAATTCTCAATATTATTATAGTTTGTTATTGTTATAATCAAACTATTGTTATATTTCTTTGAATTTTATTATTAGTAATTATTAATATGGTTGTATTTTGTTATTTTCAATCAAATTATATTATTTTAATATATAACTAGTTTGATCTTGACTTGATTTTAGTCTAACCAACTAACTCTTGAAATATCTTAATTGGTTTAGTATCTGGTCCTTTTTTTCTTCTTCTTGATTTTTATCAACATTCAATGCTCTATGAAAATTAACTCTGACCCAAAAAAAGAAAAAGAAAATTAACTTACGAAACTGCCCTTCTGCTGTCTCCCTTTTTTCTCTTCTCACCTGCGATTTTAATATTTTACTGTGGCAGCTAGCAATTTTTTTATTTGTTCAATAATAAATTATTGATAATTTTGGTATTGCATAATTTTTACGCCAAAAAAAGAATGTTGATAAGGGAGACTATCAGGACTTCGGCAGCATTAATTGTGGCTGCTGCTAGAAGATTTTCCCATTTTCTATTATTGTTTTTTTCATACTTCTCTTAAAATTTTCATAATATGTAAATACAATATATATAATAGTTAAAAATATATATTCTCACAAAAATATGTACTCCTCCGGTCCTAAATATAAGACCTTTAGGTATAAGAGTATTATATTTAAGATCGGAGAAGTATTATTTAATAAATATAATATACATATTCTACTAAAAAAAAGAAACATATTATTATTTAATAAAAATCATGCTATTTTCAGCCATTTCACAACTAAATTTTCTTTTCCAATAATAATCCAAACAATTTTTTATTTTACTAACTGACTTTTTTAGAGAAGTCAATTCAAATATAAATCACATTACACTATCTGCCTTTTATCTAATCTTATTTTGAGCCAAATAATAAAAAAAAAAAACTTCTGCCACCGCCAATCCAAACACGCCTTATGCTTGTTTGGATTGGCTTTTTCTCCAATGGGCTTTTGGAAAAAACGCATTATATTGCCAAAATTAAAAATTTGAGCTTTTTGGGTTTTTACCATGGAAAGAGAAACAAATGAGGATATGAAGAAAGTAAAAAGCATTTAAGTGAGTCCTATCTTAACCCAATAATTTGATTTTTCTTGCTAGTAATAATTTTTTAATACTTGCAACTTTTTTAAATAATATATTAACTCTTTTTATTTTGAAAAAAACTTAAGTCAAATTTCTTATATTTATTATGCTAGGTTCTCTAATTATTTA